CTTTGGTGTAAGTTTTTTTTGTTTATAGATTGCACGCGAAATACCCGATCGATTTTGTAGAACTGTTATATATTATATTAATTTGTACGTTTTTGAAATTTAGGCTAAATGTGTGTGTGTGTGTGTGTGTGTGATGCTACTATTACTTAAGAACTCTCGAAAATTACAAGTTTATAATAAAAGACAAGAAAATAACTCACGATTTAAATTTAGCGAGAATTGTGGTTTGGAGTTCGGCTATACGCAAGTGTGATAACTCATATACGTCTCTGATGAATTTAACGACACTTTTTAAGCATTAAAATATGTAGCACTTATATTAACTTTTACCCTCAAAATTTCATTCGAATAATCACTAAAAGTACTTTGAAGAAAATTATAATAAATCGAAAAAATAAGATTTTAACACCCTGTAGCTACGAAACAAAGCAGAATTGGACCTATGTTGATATGAAAAATAAATCTTATTTTTACGCGAGGAATCTCCCCATGAGAGATGGCACATGTTTTTGAAACACCCAAAGAAGTTTCCATCTTAGCAGTCTTGATTTAATATAGCTGCGTTCATGTTAAATCAAGATGGAGCACGTGGAAGATTTAATAAAACAAAGGTCACCAATAAACTAGTTAGCAGATGCATAAATTTGATTAGGACCAGTATAATTAATGCAGGATCCATCGCTCTTATTGGTTTCTGTGTACTTATTCATAAAGAAACCATGAAGAAACTTTCACACTTTATGTTTAACTAGCTATAAAAGAGGAAGTAATTTTCCCACGAGAGATGACACATGTTTTTTGACTAAATGATCTATAATGTTTAAAATATATGAGTGTAGAGTGTAGATTGTATGGGAAGGGAGAAGTTAATCACCGGGACCTTACAGATCTATTGTGTCCCCCTTTATTGCAGGAAAAAAAGAAAATTAAAGTTAAATTAAACTATATTAATTAATCCAAACCAGATGCCTTATTAAATTGGAACAAAGATTGTAGATTATTAACATCAAGTACGGAAGCCAGATCGCCATTCACAGACCAAGCGATCATCTTAACTCAATGAAGGAGGGATATTCTATTAGGAGATGGTGCACAGTTAATGGGTTGCTACAAAGAGAGTAGTTAGGCTTGGAGTCACCTCTTAAACAAAAGAATGAGAGAAATAGCGATGGCCCAATCTGGGCCGATTCCAATTGACTTCTTCATTTCTGGATAATGACCCAGCTACAGAAGCTTGGAAGAATTGAGGTTTACATTTATATACTTTATTTGTGTGAGGCTCCGGTTACTTCTCTTTTATGACTTATCATACAACCTCAAAGCTTTGACGAAAGTCACCATCTGAGACTGTTTTAAAGAGGTTAGATCTCCATCTGCGATATCAGTCGTACCAAAGTTTATGGCACGAATCGTTGTCGTTTCAGAGCACTATTGATGAGGGGTTCTGAATTTTCCCCATTTGTACCATAGAATGGGCACTCGCCGTTGTATCTTAGCTTGAACCTACTGCGGTGTTCAGTGAGGAGACAGTGTCCTGTTAAAAACCCCGTGACAATTCGAAGACTGGCGAAGACTACTTTTTCCTTGGCAAAAGTAGCTCCTCGAAAGGCAGATATTTGAAGCAATAGAAGCAACCGCACCTCTGCTTTCTAATAGATACTTCTGTTAACTGGCTCAGTACATAAAAACATAAATCACCGAAAGAAGAAAATTAAAAAAACAACTAACTCTAGAACAACATCAATGCAGAAGATGCAGAAAATAAAGACAGTCTTTTTATTCTGAATTGTTCTTATAATTTTCCTGTATATTAATAATAATTAATACAGTCCTATATGGGTATAATAAAGTTACTAGCTCCAAGCTACAAAATAAATAATGAGTAGACCTAAATAATCACAATCCCGGACCACAGAAGCCCTAATTTTAGTTTAGGCTCCAAACAGGTAAATAGTAAATTACTAAATGCTCTCAGGTGTATTAATTTCGCATGTGGGAGGCAAATGATCAAATTACTAGATGGAAGCTACAAATACGGCAGGGTTTAAGCATACGAATAAAAATACTGATTACGTTATTAGTAAAATCTAAATAAATAAAACAAAGTCGGGTTATAGCCCAGTCAAATTAGAGAAATCGGTGGAAAAAAATCCCACAGTTTTGAAAATGGTCTAAATGATTTCTCTCTTGATATGTGTCAAAAGCCCCGAAGATAAACGATGAGCTCGAGGAGAGGGGAGGGGTTAAATGTCACTTTTATGACTCTTATCAGCTTATATCTCGGAAAATATGACACTTATGAAAAAATACCCTATACAGAAAACTGAAGCTCAGAAAATTCTCTACAAAATTGGTTGAATGCATTTTTTAAGCCAGACAAGATGGCCCTTGCCACTATGATGCTGTCAAAGCCTTAAAAAATAATTATGATGACATTATGAAAATTTTCAAAAGTTTCAGCGAAAATGAGGTTGAGAAATTTGATTTCCGGAAAGAGGCACGAAATTTATTCAATAAAATGGCGAAACTCGAGACTGCAATTTTGATTATCTTTTGGGAAGAAGTTTTGGAGAGATTTCATTTAGTTAATAAAAAATACAGAGCCCTGGTTTAGACATTTGTGAAGGCAACAAGTTAATTGTTTCTTTAAAAGACTTTGTGAGCAACATAGGGCATCAATCAGATCAAATGTTACAGGAATACGACGAAAAAGCTAAAAAATTAAGTACTAGTGTAATAATAGACTACAATTACATAAACAAGAGACGCATTATCCCAAAATTTTCAGATAAGTCTACAGGTGAATTCTCAGTATACGGCGTAGAAAGATTTAAAGAGACACGTTAAAAGTTGCGTTGGATAAGCTGATTATGGATTTAAATAAAAGGAGACAAGTCTATGAGACATATAGCAAAAAATTCAAATTTTTAATGGATTTGCAAGACAAAAATATCGAAAACATAGATTTGGAAATTGCACGTCCTATTATTGATTACTATCCCGATGACGTAGACAAGCATTTAGTGAATGAGTGCATTCAATTAAAATCGTACTTACTCCAATCTATGTCTGAGTCTTACACCTCTTGCAGTGACATTTTTGTGCTCATGTATGAAAATAAACTTATTAACGTGTTCCCTAACTGCTATACCATTTTAAAGATTTTTTTAACATTGCCAATCACTAGCTGTGAAGCAGAACGCTCCTTCTCCAAGATGTCCTATGTAGAAAATAAATATAGGAAAACAATGTCGAACCATCGACTAAATAATTTATCACTTCTTTCCATAAATTGTGATCTAACAAAAGACTTCGAATGTGATGACCAAATAACTGTCAATTTCTGTGACTACAACCTATCAATTTCTTTTACTAATTCATAATAAGTAAATAAATAAAATTGTTTTATTGTTTTTTTATATTCTTATAAAATATCACTATTTCGGTTTCTCTCTCACCCAAAGTTTGCCTGGAAGAGATTGCTACCACAGCAATAAGGTCGCCTTTTGTACAACTTGCGTAGATTTAAGTAACATTTATGTTACTTAAATCCACATATCACAAATACCGAAGTCTACAGCAGAATAGGCAGAGAAAGAGAATTGCTCAATATAATAAAAATAAAAAAAATTATCATACTTAGGGCATATATTGAGAAATGAAAAATACCACGTCTTACAATTGATAGTTAAGGGTAAGATTGAAGGAAAGAGAGGTCTCGGCAGGAAGAAACTATCTTGGTTGAGAAACATCAGAAACTGGACTCACCTAACTTTTGAAGAACTCATAAGGAAAGCCGAGAATCGTGAAGATTTTGCCAATGTGATCGCCAACCTCCACGAAAGAGACGGCACGTAAAGAAGAAGAATAATAATATATCATTATAGAAACAGTTTTTTGATATGGCTATTAGTTGAGTACTTATGTAGGCCTCTAAGTAGTTTCAGCCCAGGGCCCCACAAATTCACGATTCGCCCCTGGGTCTCACCAAATAACCTTTTAAGAGTTACAGGGTTGACAAAATTAACACTATTTCTCTATTAACAGAATTAATTTCTTCTCATATAGAAAATATGGGAGGCAAGGACAAGGACTCAAGGCAAAGAACAAAATAATAGAAAATTTTCTACAAAGAAAGGGAAGTATGTGGATAAAAGCAAAAACTTTAACTGGCAATAACAACTGGCCCAAGATAGGAAGAAATTACGTGCATTTATCAATGACAGGAAAGCATAAATATGCAACACAGGCACCCTTATGGATTTTTCGATGATATCTTTTCGATTATATAGGGTGTTAGAAATTCGAGGTACGAGCATTGGCATCTCGGTAACCGTAATAGATACGAACATGGTTAAATTGGGGCAAAGTTGCGCTTTGGGATGTTCACCAAGATGCCATCAAGAAAGTTTAAAAAATTTCACGGATTGTGGTGGTAACCCTTTCGAACATGTAGAGCATTAGAAACTAGTTTGTAGAAGTTGATTTATTTATAATAACTACGATTAATATTATGCATATTATTAGATCGCACACTGAAATTTCAAATTCACAATATTTTTTTTTTATTAATAAGGCTTCGACATCCAAGGTCATTTCGCCTATTATAGAGACATTACTTCAACAGTAAGTGTAAAATAATAACAAAAACATATTATATAGGTATAAATGTATAAATAAACATCTTAATATAAATATAAAAACAAACAGGTAAGAGTATAGGGTACAGCACAATTTTTTAAGTATAACACGAACACTAAATATATACAAAAATAAAAACGCACAAGTAAATAAATAAATAAATAATCAAATAATCTAATAAATAATATATAGGTATAAATGTATAAATAAACATCTTAATATAAATATTAAAACAAAACAAACAGGTAAGAGTATAGGGTACAGCACAATTTAATAAATAAATAAATAAATAGAACAAACAGACAAACAAATAATCAAACAAATAAATAATTTGCATAGATACATAAATATCTAGATTTTCAAATTTCGTTAAACAGATTTACAGCTTTTAAGAAGTTTAAACAATTAGCAATTGACTGTTTATCTTTTAAGTTTTCTCCGTATGGTCTCACAAGATTAAACAGGTGTCTTTGGGGTTCATACCTTGGGCAATCACAAACAATGTGTTCTACTGTCAGTCTAACCTGGCAATCCGCACACAGAGGTGCATCTTCCCCAGTAAGTAGGTGTTTGTGCGTCAGTGCGGTATGACCAATGCGAAGTCTGTGAGTCTTGGTTAAACTGGTTCGATCTAATTCAACACGTAGATATTTACCATAAGCCAGTGGCTTTATCCTATATAAATTCTTGTTTAGATTTTGCCACCTTTGTTGCCATTCCTTCAGAATAATAGATTTTAGATAAGCTTGGTAATCGGAAGGTTTAACCATTGTAACATCTACTACATCTTTTGAACTGGCTTCCTGGGCAGCATTATCCACTTTTTCGTTACCAGCTATTCCTACATGGCTTGGAACCCACAATAATGTGACCTCTCCTTGTTAGATCATGAATCAATATTTGGATATTTTGTGTCATAGAATCTTTAGTAAATATATCTAAGAGACTTTCTAAGACGCTCTTTGAGTCACAAACAATTAGACATTTAGAGGGACCATTCGATAAGGTAAGGAAAAGCAGAGCCTGCCAAAGTGCATATTGCTCTGCATAATAAATTGTGGAGATATTACTTAAGGTCCAAGAAAAAGTCTTGTCCTCGGTAGCGAAAGCGCACCCGACGCCATCATTAGTTTTGGATCCATCCGTGTTGATGACGAAATCTACATTCTCTCGATTCTTAATATCGAGGAAGCTCTGCTGCCAGTGTGTATTTGAGATTTCACCTTTTTTAAATTGCGCCAATTCGAAATTTACTACAGGCGGAGGACACTTCCAAGGAGGAATTTCACTTGACTCAAGGCGTAATAATTGAGGTGGGTCTACTTCTCTAATTCTCAGATACTCCCTATACCTTCCAAAAGCTGATCTACTGAAGGGGGGATGGTTTTCAGCCTCTCTCATACATATTTTATTATAGGGATGTTCATCCAGGGCTAATATTTTTGTCATGTAATTTGACAACCGTATTTTTCTTCGATCTTCTAAAGAGGGTATGTTTGCTTCACAATACAAACCTTCAACGGGGCTTGTTGGGAATGCACCTAAACAGTACCTCAAGGCCGCATTGTGAATACTATTCAGTATGTTTAAGCTAGATTTGCAGGCTGATCCATAGACAACACAGCCATAATCAATTCGTGACAAAATCAGCGACTGGTACAAAGTGAGAAGCATCTTTGGTTCTGCACCCCATTTTGTATGAGATAGAACTTTAAGAATATCTAGGGATTTCATGCATTTTTGTTTAAGTGATAATATGTGCTGTTTCCATGTATGCGTGGAGTCAAATATTATGCCAAGAAATTTTATAGTTCTAGGACATCTAATAGGTGTTTCTTCTAAGTACAGTAATGGGTCATAATGAGGTCTTCTAAGCCTACAGAAATGCATACAGCTTGTTTTCTCCTCGGAGAAAGTAAAACCAACTGATCTGGCTTGTTTGCAAATTTGATTTATCGATGGCTGCATCTTACAATAAAAAAGATAAAAATAATATATACATATTTAAATAGCTGACCTGGATATTATTTATTTGAATCTTTCAATTGGCTCGATTTTCCTTTTTCAATTTTAATTAGCGCTAATCAATATTGTTGCGATGAATATAATCAGATTAAATAATTTAAAAAACCAGAGTCGGAATTGAAATTATTTCAAATAATATTTAAAAAGTTTTGTTGTTGTTAAGGTACAAAATAAGAAAAAAGAATAAAGTGTGGCATATCTTTGTACTCAGGAGATCGAGTTCTTTCAAAACCTGAAATAAAAAATGTAGGTCCGTATTTAAAAAAAATGAGTTGGCCTCTATATCTCACAAATTATCAGCTAATTCGAAAATCTAAATTGATTTTCAAAAAAATCCGTTTTTTCTAAAAAAAACTCAGCAATCCAAATTGTCTTGGTAAATATCCCAAAACCCTTTGCCCCAATTTAACCATGTTCGTATCCATTACTGTTACCGAGATACCAATTCTCGTACCCCGAATTTGTAGCACCCTGTATACCTTTTATTAAATTGCAATATGAATCCAGTCCAGACATTATCTAGTCCAGACTTGAGCCCTCTACTTATAGGGTGCGCGAATAAATCCATTCGACTGTTCGAAATTTAGAATTGGTGTAACGTCGAAAACTCGGGAATTTCGAACAAAGCAATTTTCAGGTGCATGTAGTACGAATTAAAGCGTAATGTGGCAGACACGTCGAGGTAGACGTTTTGTTCTATTTCAAACTCGATTTCGGGATCGTATACGAATGGGAACAAATTCAACTTGAGTTCGAGCATGTTGAAAATTTAAAATGCCGTTACACCGAACTAAAAAAATTAAAAAAAAAACATAATTAATACCTACATAAATATAGTGATTTACGTCGATTTGGAAACTTTTATTTTAAACCAATAAGAGGCCAGTAAGCCAGTTAAATTTAAAAGACAGAAACTTTAAGAACTTTTTTTGTACCCTCTCAATTCGTTCAACATGCACATTACGAGTATATCCCGGCGAATGGAAATATATTATGCAAGGTAAGAAACAAAAGTTACATAGTAGCGATGTGTGCTTTCACCCTGGGGGTGAGTGCCACCCCTTCTCAGTCGTAAAAAATAAATTACTTATTTTAATTGCAAAAACTAATAAAGGGATGAATTCTCAGCAAAAAATGTTAACATTTTTCCAGAGTTTTCGAGTTATTTATAAAAAATGGCAAAAAAATATGCAGTTTTGACTGCCGCTAGTTTTAAGAATTATATTAGTTTATACTTATTTCGGCCAGGGTTCCTTCTGACCGAAACGTTGTGTTAATCAAAATAAATAAAGACCATGGAAGTCCGAAATTCTTTTAGTTCAATACTTAATTATTGTCCTACCACATTCAAAGAAATATATAGTTATCTTTTTAAACCCTGGTATCAACAAAAAATCTTGGTAAAGTAAATAAAAATGTGAATTTTAATTTCCTTTACACATTTTTTTTAATTTCATAAAATTAAATTCGCAAGCACAAAATAATTATAATCGTAGGTTATTACTATTTTAGCTGGAAAATTATCTACCATGCTATTTTTAAATGCGTTTTAAAATGTAATTAAACCTTCAGACGAATATATTTCTAATTAAAACCTCAATTTTTTCCAAGCCGAATTCGGTTTTTCAAAATTAATAAAGTTCTGAAAGTATGTTAATTTCTAGATGGAAATACACTGCATTAAAATTGGTGGAATAGAATCCTTTAATTAAATATTTTCATAGTTTAATATTAAATAGAAGAGATAGACATCGGCGCAATTAAATACTAGTTTAATTCGTATTGGTCTTAGAGCATTAATAAAAATAAAATGTTCGAATTAAAGAACATAAAGATTATTTAAGAAAGGGAGATTTTCATAAATCTAAGATTTGTCAGCATTCATAGGGCACAGAATAAATTTTAACAACGCCAAAATTATAATGAAAGAAGCGATGAAGAAAAATAAAAGAGGCTTTTTAATACAATCTAATAAAAATAAATATATTGCTTATGCATCTGTAGATGTTAGTAATGTATGGCAATCGCATCTTTGATTTTAAAGAACATAACATAATTAAACATATCATACGTAAAATTTAAAAACAAATTAAAAATTATCATACAGAGAGTTTGGGGCTTTTTGGTTTTACCTTATTAAGTAATTGTTATTAAGTAGTAATTGTTAATTTTGAAGTTTAACTTGATATAATGTCATTTTAACAGAACGTCAACGGTTTTTGTAGACGATCTGTTTAAAAAAAACTAAAGTGTTCTTGAATAGTTGCATTTAAATATTTTAAATAGTTTTTTTCTTTATTCTTTATATTTTTTTTGCTTCCGACGACGACGGAAAGAGATAAACTTTCCGAAACGTTAAGCATTTTTTTGTTCGTTAGGCAAATTTCTTTATATGTAAACCTAACTGCTAACTGCTGACAAGTAGTTTCCGTTGGATTAACGCATTAATTAATTAGTTAATTCGTCATCTTCGTTCAAACAGTCTTACATGAGCTTGTTACGTTTTTCGTCGGTTCCGTGTGGATAGAAAGTCACAATTTATTTAAACACAATTTATTTAACACTAATTAACAAAAACAATAACGATAAAAGACTTAAAGAACTATTTATAACTATATTTAGAAACTTATTTATCTACCGTATTTATTTAGAGCAAAAACAAGAAGCCTCGATCGTAGCACAGTGTAGTTTATTATCGTCTGTCTCTTGCGCACCGGCGTCGGTATATGTATCGATGTATAGGCGTGCGACGGAGTCTAGAACGCACTGGGCGGTGCTGGAGAATTCTTAGTCGCTGTGTTCTCGAATTTCTAGGCTCTTCTAGGTCATATTAAAGCGGGACTGGTTTCGCAACACTGCACCCTCCTTAGATACATGCTCGTCCCGAGATGTGCACGGTGAATGAAGGTACTTGCAAAGCTGGCCCCTGGTACATTGAGAAGTCTGATAGAAATAGCAGTCTACAGTTTTCTCGCCTGATCTCAGCTTTGGGTTGTAGCGGCAAACGAGGATCTCGATTCCCGTAAATCTAAACAAGACTTCAATCATGTTCCGGATTGTACGCCAACTCAAACCATCGAGTCCACACGCCAGCTTCGGAATGGCTAATCGTGTACTGTTGTTGTTTAGCAGGGCTTCTCTCAGTTCAATCAGGGTCTTCCATAGATTGAGATAAGTCGGCTTACTCGGCGACCATTCCTTAGTGACCAGGTAGAAGATGTGTCTTGCTTGACCATGCGCATTGTCGATTAGCATCAAGACGCTTCCAATCTCATGATCCTGTCGGCGTAGTTCTCCGATACGCCCAAACTTCTCATTGAACGTCGTAGCAATTCCTCTGGACATTCGCAAATCTCGGGCCACACAGTGACCGAGCGAATAATCAGGAGGCACGGAAAAGAGGTTCCGTTGTTCTTCTTTGGTCACACCATAGCGAGCCTTCTCACTGCTGTTGTATCGGGCCATGAAATCGTCAAAGGACATCTCCGAATCAGGGGGATCAAAGCTGCAGGTTCTCACGGTCCCAGCACGATCTTCTATTTCGCCTTGGTAGGGGCTCAAACGGTTGAAATCGACGATCCTGGGCTTTCCTTTTGGCAGTTTTCTAATGCGGTATACGACGTCATTAATCCTATTCATGACTTCGTATGGGCCTTCCCACGAGGATTGTAGCTTCGGAGATAATCCACGACGTCTCTGCGGATTGTACAGCCACACCAAATTCCCTCGTTGATATCCCCCATGCTCAGCTTGAATGTCGTTGTGCTCCTTTATTCGGTCACTAGCGCTTTGAATATTTAGGCGGACTCGCTGATGGATGTCGTCCATCCTTTGACGTAGTCTGTGGACATAATCTTCTCCAACGACATCTTCTCCCGGTCGGCAACCAAACTTCAGATCACAAGGTAGACGCACTTCCCGTCCCATAACGATGCTGGCTGGAGTTTGCCCTGTGGATTCTTGGACGGATGAGCGGTAGGCCAACAGGAACAGGTGAAGGAATTTGTCCCAGTCTCTTTGGTGGTCAGAGACTACTTTGGCCAAATAACGATTAATAGTTCTGTTCATGCGTTCAACCATCGCATCGGATTGTGGATGTAGAGCCGTCGTCCTAGTCTTGCGGTTGTTAAGGACTTCACAGACGCCTTGGAACAAATTGGACTCGAAGTTTCTTCCCTGATCGGAATGAAGCTCCATGGGAACACCAAACCTGCAGATCCATTCTTTAACAAGGGCATCAGCAATCGTGGACGCTTCTTGATTTGGCAACGCGTAGGCCTCGACCCATTTGCTGAAGTAATCCATTACTACCACAATGTATTTGTTGCCATCGTTCGTCTCCGGGAAAGGACCAGCCACGTCGATCGCTATTCGTTCGAAAGGACTGCCTACATTGTACTGGCGCATTGGAGCTTTATCACGCTTTCGTGGTCCATTGATAGCAGCGCAAACGTCGCATTTCTTACACCAGGCCCTCACGTCTTCTGTGCAGTTCACCCAATAGAACCGTTCACGCAGCTTGCCAAGGGTCTTGCTAACACCAAGATGTCCACCGCTGGTTCCATTGTGAACTTCCGCCAAGACTTCCGGGACCCTCTTCTTTGGAATGACGATCTGCCTTCTCTCTTCATGTCCTTCTGGTCTCTCAATCACACGGCGAAGTAATCCGTTATCTATTACCAATGAATTCCACTGGGACCAGTACGACTTCACGTTCGGCGAACATCTGCAAACTTCCTCCCACGTTTGTCTCTGGTCCGCGTTTTTCCAGTTAATCACCAAGCCCAACTCTGGATCACTGATTTGGTCATTTGCAAGATCTTCGGTTTGCCAACTATCACCAACCACAGTCGTCCTTAAGACTTTCACTTCTTTCTCTTCTTTGCAACGATTTCCCATCTGACCGCAATTCCAACAGCGAATCGGTCCCCTTCTTGCTCATA